CCAAAGCTGTTCCTTGCCTTCCAGCCCATCCATGAGCCGGGGGGGGGGGGCTGGGGGGCCAGGACAGCCCCTCTGTCCTCTGCGCCTGCTCCTCTGCTCCGGCCGTCGGCAGCCCGGCGTGAGGGGAGCCCCGAGGCCCAGAGAGAGGAGGCGGCTCGTCCCAGGCCCCACAGGGAGACTGCGCGCGAGTGGCAGGCAGAAGGAGGGGTGAGGGCAGGGGCCCGGAGAATGTGGGGACGCTGGGGGAGCGGGGGCAGGGGACCCAGCCCGGGCGAGGCCCCGAAGCCAGGCAGCTGCGGGGGCCCCCGAGGGCCTGGGCGGTGGGCTGGGTGCTGAGTACGAGAACTGGCGGGAGGCCACTGACTGAGGGCTGTCACCTGCCGCCGTCCGGCCGCATCTGACTGGGGAGGCGTTGCTCCATCGCAGAGCTCGCCCGTTACACAACGGCCCGCCGGCCCCCGCTCACCCACCTGTCCCCGGGGGTGTCTGGCCGGCTTCCTTCCGTTGGGACCCTGCCCGCTGCCCAGCACCGCAGGCCCTGACTGGCTTCCCGCCCCCTCTCCAGCCGCTCCCCTGCCTTCCTTCTGGCCCCTCCCCCCCGTGCCGCTGCCCGCATCTTAGAGGCCACCCGCCCCCCCAGGGCTGCGCGGGGAGGGCTCAGGGGTCCACAGCATGTGGCTAAGGGGCCTCAGACGTGGCCCCGCCGCTGGGTCCCCCTCTTGGTGACCCTGCAGAGGTGGCTCAGGCATCCGGTCCCCTCCGTCCGGGCTCCCTCAGCACCCAAGAGGGACGTCACCTCCTAATTACTCCCAACCTCCCCTCCCCCCTCCCCCGTCAGCACCTCCTTCCCGCCAGGTCCCCGGTGATAAGGGCGGGCGGTGGAGGCTGAGGCAGTGGTCTCCGTGGAGGCCGAGAGCTGGTGTGGGGGGTCCTGCTTGGGTCGTGAATCGGGAGGACACAGGATGGGCCATGTGTGGCTTCCGTGGCCTGGTCTGGGCTCCGGCTCTGGACCCCTGGGGAAATGTGGGCTCCCAAGGCCTCCCCCTGGAGCTCTGGGGGAAAGCCTGGCTCCTGCACCCCCCGGCCTGTCCCCCCCAACGGGAGCCCTCAGGGCCCGCTCACCGCAGAGGGAACTGGGGAGACGGGCCTTCAGGCTGCGGGTGTGCTCACACTAGGGGCAGACACGGGGTGGAAATCAGGCAGAAAGGGTTCAAGGAGAGGGTCAAGCCGACTCCAGCGGTGCCTGTGCATTGCAGGGGACCGGCCTCCGACCCTGCGCCCGACCCCGCGCTTCGCAGCCTCCCTCCTGCCCCGGTCAGCCGGCTTCCCAGCAGGGTCCGTGCACACCCAGCTCGTGGCCGGCCGGGGCCTCAGGGGGGTAGGGGGGAGGAGGGACCTGGACATGGGAGAGACGGAAGCGGAGACCCAGACACACCGTGGCGCAGGCCCGAGCGGGCTGCTTGGGCCCCGGGAGCTGACGGGACCCGCCCGGGGAGGGAGGGGGGCGCGTGCGGGGCAGGAGAGCAGAGGCTTGGCCCCTGCAGAAGAGGGTGGCACTTAGCAGTCTGACTCCGGCTGTGCCTGCTGGTGGCTGTGCTGGAAGGCTGGGGCTCCGTGTGCGGGGCGTCCCTCGAGGCGCAGTGAACCTGGCCCCTGACCCCCACCTCCTCGGGTCAGCCTGGGCTCCCAGCTGGCCTTTATCTGGAGCCCCAGCTGTGGCCACGGAAGTGGCCGTTTCTCTCCGCTGTGCTGTCTCCCCACCAGACCTGGCGATAACAGGGGAGGGTGTGGGGGGATTGAGCAATACCTCGTGGTGGGTACAGGGGGAGGCTCTGGGGCTCATGACCTCTGACCTGCTGGCCGGGTCAGGGAGGGGGGCAGGGCTGTGGGGTCCAGGCTGCCCCCACCTCACCGCATCCAGGGGAGCACCAGGCTGTGACCCCAGGACCTGGCACACAGCAGGTGTTCAATAAATGCAGAATGACCAACTTCGGGGTCTCTTCCCAAATCTATCCCTGCTCCCAGCTTCCATCCCCCACGGCTGAATCCCCAAACCTTCTCCAAAGCCCTCTTCTTCCCCCCCTGCCCCCAGGGCTCAGCCTGCACTGTCCCTCCCCTGGGCTCCTTGACCAATCCGGGGAGTCTTCCTCCAGCCCTGGGGTCTCTTGGGGCCCTGACCTCCAAGCCCTGGAAATTCAGCATAGGAGTGTCCAGACTGGCAGGGAGCTGGGGTCCAGATCTGATGCACCCTCCCTGCCCATCCACGCCCTTCCAGACCACTGACCGCAGCCTTCAAGGCCTCCGGCCCTGCCCAGGCTGCCTGCATAGCTGCCCCTTGACTTCCCTTGCCCCCCGCCCCCCACCCCCCAACCAGTGCTCAGCAAGGGAATGAGGGCCCGAAGAGGACTCTGCAAGCCCAGAGTTGGGGTCGGCCGCCCCCCAAGGGAGTGCACGGGGCCCCCCTCACCAGCATCCCTCCCGGCAATCAAGCCCGGTGCTGGCTGAGCTCAGCTAATTAATGGCATGGCTCTTTTATCAGCCAAGTGCTAATTACTCTTTTTAATCAGGGCTGCCTCTGTGGAGGCTCGTGGGGGCCCGGCAGGGGCTGGCGGGGGGGGGGGACTGGGAGCCATGACCTCATCCCTCCTCACGCAAGCCCCACAAGTGCTGCCCTGGAGTCCTCCCCTGCTGGACGGAGCCCCCCCCGCCCCCCCCGCCGGCCAATGCCGCTTTCTTCCAGGCCCTGCCTCAGTGGCCCCCTCAGCCCGGTCACGGCGACGGATGGAGCTGGGAGGCTGTGAGCAGGACCGGCCTTGGTCTCCAGCAGAGAGCGTGGAGATGCTGACCCCGGGGAAAGGCAGAGGGGCAGGGAGGGCGTGGGGCCTACATCTACCCCGGAGGGTCCCGGCTCACCTTGAGGGGTCTCTGTCCACAGAATGGGGGCACCAGGTTCCATCCCCCCACCCGCAAGTCCCTGTGGCCCCGGACCCGTGTCGCCACCCTGTGCACACCAGACCTGACCCCCCCCTCCACCCCACCCCTGCACAGACACACCAGAGATCTCCAGCCCGAGAAACAACCCTGAGGTCCACACGCGCCCAAGGCACCAAGGTCCGTTCACACACCCAGACACGCAGACACGGGTACCTGGGACAGACACACAGACACAGACACACCCCGGCAGGGCGGGGCCTGGGAGAACAGAAGCTGCCCCGTCTCCTGCCCGGGGCCCCCAGGGCTTCCCGTTTACCAGACTTTATCTATCAGAAATATATTAACCCAGAAGCCCGTTTCCATCAGAGTCTCGATTCCAGGGACATTTCCAGATAAGCCTTATCTCGTTGCTGGTGCATTAGCCCGGCGGCCGGGGGCTGCCCATCACGGCTGCCCCTCCTGCCCCGGCCGGGGGCGGGACGGCTGCCCATGACCTCATTCTGTGCGCACGGGGGCTCGGGGCAGGGCCCTGCCGCCCCTCATCCCCCCCGCACCCCCCTCTCTGTCCAAAGCAGGGCCCCAGAGGGCACCTCTTTCCAAGGACACATCTGAGGCCTTGAGGCAAGGGGGTCTTCCAGAGCCTGGGTTCAAGTCCCAGCTCCGCCTGAGGCAGCGGCACTGGTCGGCTGAGCCCGGCTCCCACCCCCTCCCACCCCCTCCCACATCTACAGTCCAGGCGATGCTTCCCAGCCACGTTCCCAGATCCGGGGACTCTACGGCTGAGACGGTGGCTGCAGTGGGCTTGCGCTCTCTTCTGCGGGGCTCAGGGCTGGCGGGGAGCCAGGGGAAGGGGACCCTGCCATCAGCGTGCCCCTGGACGCTGGCCCTGCCCCTGCCCAGCCACCCGGACTGCCCGTCTCCTCCAAGGGCTGTGCCCGGGCCCCAGCCCACTGATGGGCGCTTGTGTTTCTTGGGATGCCAGGCCTGAGGCTTCTGGGAGTCACACTCCGGGCGGCTCCGCCTCCTTCCCTGGGCTTTGAGCGCCGTCTTCGGGTGAGGTGGGAGGCAGGGGGAAAGGTGCGGTGGCTGTGGGGACGGTGGCAGAGGCCCTGGAGAGATGGCTGACCTGGAACACAGCTGGACCTGGGGCGGCCGCACCGCTGGTGAGGGGTTCGTAGAGCCCTCACCTTCCAGGGTGAGACCACGTCTGCTGGGGGGTGACATGGAGGGCAGTGGTGAGCCCCTGAACAGCCCCATAAAGCAGCCGCTTTTGTTCTCACTTTATACACAGGGACACCGAGGCAGAGGTTAGGGGCTTGGCCAAGGTCACACGAGCAGTGGCTCGAGTCCACGCCACCTCCCTGTCGCCCATGGATCTGCGCCCAGAACTTGTTCGTGCTTAGTGGGCGCCCCTCTATGCCTGCGGGGATGGGGGGCTCTGTTGGGTCACATGTCCCCTCATTTGGAGACAGTGCTATGTGGTCAAGGTCGGGGGGGCAGGAGGTAGCCTAGGGGCGGGCTCAGGGCCTGCGGGCCAGCCACCCCCACACCCGCCCTTCCAGGACGCTGCTGCTGGCCCGCGGCCCGCGCGCCCGTCCCCTTCCCCTCCGCATGATGCACGCATCGCCAGGTTACAGGGCGGCGCCCCCCCCCCCCTCATCTGGAGGCCACATGACGTCTTTCAAAGCGTTGATTTCCCCTCGTTAAGTTGGTTTCACCACCTCACTCTTTCCCGGGTATCCACGGCTCGGGCTGGGTGGCCGGTGGGGCAGGGGAGCCGAGGAGGGGGCTGCCTAGGCTGGGGGGGGTGCGCGGTCCCCGGCCCGCGGTGCGCTCTGCACAGGGCTCCTCGCAGGCCTGCACCTCCACACCCTGGGGACTACGGGCCCCAAACTCAGGGGCAGAGGCCTAGGGACCTGACACCCTGCGGCCCCCTCTGCCCCCGGGGCTCTGAGTTCTGGTTCCTCCCCCAGCCGCACTCTGGGAAGGACCCTGGCCACTCCCTTGACGCTGCCCTTAGGAACAGGAGTCGGGGCAGCTCCCAGGGAAGCACAGAGACGAGCAGAGAGGGCAGGCACCACAGGACATTTATTTGCAGCCCGGAAGTGCCAGGCCACCTGGGGTCAGGGCGTGGGCCGGCTCTCACGTGGCTGCTGGCCACCAGCAGTAGGGGGGAGGGTGCCGGGGTGGGGGGGCCGCCCCCCTCGGCCCCAGCCCTGGTGACACTGGCACCCCCCCAGGCTCGGTGCCAGGCCCGGGGGCCGGTGCCTCCAGAGTCCTGGGGACAGGGACCCACTGAGGGAGGTCGAGGCACGTCTGGTTGGGCATCTGGCATCTCAGCCCAGCCTGGGGCGGGGTGGCCCTGGGGGCGGCACCCTCAGGGAGACTGCACCATGCGCTTGTGGGCGTCGAAAACATAACGCTTGAAGGACAGGCTGAGGGTCACGTGCTGCGTGGGCTCCGGCTGCTCCGCCCCCTCCTCCTGCCTGGCGGCTTCCCCGCGGCCGGCCCGGCCCCGCTTCTTGCCGGTGGGCGCCAGGATCCTCTTGGACTCGGGGCTGAGGCCGCCTGCGAGGCACAGAGAGCGCGGTTAGCCTGCCGCTCCCCAGCCTGCCCCCTGCCGGCCGCACCGGCACACGCCCCACACCCGGCCCAGCCCATCTCCAGGCCCCCCCACACCCTCCGAGGCCACCCCCACCCCGTCCCTCCCCAGCCCCCCGAGATCCACGCTCTGCTCCCCTGTGTGCCTGGGAGGCCGACCTCTGCAGGAAGCACTGGGGCCTCTGGTTGGGGCCAGCCAGTGGGAGCCCCAGAGGACCAGGGGACGAGAGGAGAGAGCAGCTGGGCGCTGCCCCCTGCCCCCTAACCCCGGAGCTCCTGTCCGGGCTCCTTCTCCCTGGGCTCTTGCACACTCTGTCCCCCCACCCCGTGCAGGGGCGGGCGCCCCCCCCCATCTCACCGGCTCCTTTCAACCCCCCTCTGGCCACTCCCTCCAGTGCGTACAGCGCACTTTATGTTCGCCCCTCCGGACGACTGACTGCGTGGAGATCAGTTCCCGCTGACCCCCTGACGAGGGCCAGCCCCCACCCTTCCGGCCCCGTCACCCACTGCTCTGTGCTTTCCTGCAGCCCCGAGGCACGCACGGGTGTTCCTGGGCTCCCCATCGAGCCTCTGCAAATGCTGTTCCCTCTGCCTGGACACCCTTCCCTCCCTGCTAATGGAAGAGGCCCTGAGCATCCCGGAACGCCAGGCTGTGATCCTTGATGTGCGGCCGCTGGGAGAGGCAGGTGGGGCGGCGCCGGGCGACACCGCCTCCCTCAGAGAGGGCGCCTACTTCTAATAGGCACAGAGGGGCCGCAGCGGCCAGTGGGCCCAGAGGCCGGGGTCTAGAGGGGCGGCAAGTTGGGGGTCGGCACGGGGCGCAGGGCTCCCCCCCAGCAGGCCCCGGTGCGCCCTGACGCGTGTCTGCCGGCACGTGAAGGGCATCTCCTTGGCCCAGGGCTGGCTGGGGGCTAGCGGTCTCCCTGGGGCACGAAGGCAAAGGGCAAGTCTGATGCCAAGCTTCGTGCCGGGAGGGACCTCCGCGCCCTCCGGGGCCAGTCGGGGCTCTGGGCGGCCGCGGGGGTGGCCTGTTCTGCCCCCGAGCCAGGCACGCGGGGGAGGGTTGGCTGAAGATGTCAGCAGGCCCTTCCTCTCACAGACGAGAAGGCGGAGCCTGTGGAGGGCGAGGACTTCCTCCAGGTGCCGTGGATTTGAACTCTGGGCTCCTGTCCGACGGCAGATGCAGGTCAGACCCCTGCCTGGCTCGGTGGGGGTGCACCTGAGGCAGAGCCCTGAAGATGGCTCCACGGGGGAGTAGCGGCCGCGACAGCACCCTGTCCTGGCCCCGCAGCCCCGGGCGTCCAGAAAGGTGGCCAGGAGGCTGCGGAAGGGACGCTGCAGAGCGTGTCAGGGACGGCTCTGCCTCCAGCGAGAAGGACGCGGTCTCCCTGCCCGCCAGGAAGGCTGGGACTCGCAGGGGGGCGGGGAGCACGGCGTGTGATCACAGGCTGTGCGCCTCGGGGCTGGGCGTGGGTCGGCCCCGGGCCAGGCCCCCACGCGAGCACCAGGTATCTGCCTCCCTGAATGGCAGCCCCGGCCTCCCTTCTGCAAACAGAGAAGGCGGCTGGCACCAGACCCTGACAAACGGCACGGGCGGCCTGTCTCCCTGTGGTGCCAGGCGGTCTGATGGCTGACGGGGCGCGGGGCTCCCTGGCGTCTGCGCCGGGCTGCGGAGACAGGCGGGGCCCAATCGGCGGTCCATCTCGCCCGCGCTGGCTCTCGTTACACGCGGCGCATTCCTCGCGCTGCCCATGGCAGGCAGAGCCAGAAAACCTACCTGGCTCAGGCAGGCACGGGGCCGTGGGGCTGCTCTGCTGACATGGGCAGGCTCAGTCACCTCTGTTCCATGCGGGGACGGCCTGGACACGATGCCCAGGAAGCCTCACCAACATGGACCTGGTCTCTGGTGCAGCTGAACTTGGACTTGGGGGACACGTTGCTGGGAGCTGCTTGGTCTTGCAGTGGCTCTTCCCTCCCCTTCGCCGAACGGCAAAAGGAGGGAAGTGGAGGGCGGGTCCGGGCGTCGGGGGTCAGGGCTGCTGCCCACCCAGCCGCCGGGCTTCTCCCAACCCGCCCCTGGGTCCTTTGTGGGAAAACACTCCCAGAAGGCTCTGGGACCGGAGGCTCCGGCAGGGAGCACGCAGAGCGGGGCCCGCCCCCCGCGGAGTTTACTGGTCTGAGAAGAGGCAGAGAGGAAACAAGCCGGCACGATAATCCAGAGAGAGAGCCACCGAGGCCACCAAGGACACAGGGCTGCTGTGTCACCAGGAGGGGACGACGGCCCGGTTGCATGCGCCCAGGGTAGGCTTTTCTGAGGAAGAGCTCCAAACGGGGACCAGGCCACAGGCAGCCCTGGGCAGGGTCTGCAGGTTCCGGCCTCCGAGTGCCGAGTCCGGGGCGGGAAGGGGCGTGAGCTCCAGCGTGGAGGGCACGTGCGGCTGCAGGCGACCGCGGCTTGCCACGTCCGCGTGGTGCTCCCTGTGACCCAGGCTCTCTGGGCGCCTGAATCAGGGAGGGTCCCAGAGACTTTGGGGGCTCAGAGTGGGGCCACCGTCCTGTCTCAGGGACCCCCCGGAGCATCCGTGAGAGGCCCCGCGGGTCGGGTGGCAGTGTGTCGCTCCTCCCGGGATGGCCCCCAACGTGGGCAGCACGTCTGGAGCTCCTGGCCTCTGACCTCTGCGTCCCCCCCAACACGACCTGGCCCGTACGTGTCTCTGAGCTGCCCCCCTCAGCCCGACGCACCGGGTGTGTTCCCACCTCGGGGCCTTTGCATTCACTGCTTCCTCTGCTGGAAGATCAGCCCCGGGAGTTCCGTGGCTCCCGGGCCCACTGCCTTCTAATCGCTGTGCGAGGGGCACCCCTGGTGAGGCCTTCCCGACCGCCCCCCCCCCCCCAGCTCAGTTGTCTTCCAACAGCTACTCCCACCTTCTGACATTCTGCTCTGAGTCCCTCATTTTGGCGTGTTCTCTGCCCCCGCCGTGGGCAAGCCCGGCACCCGGAGCCCTCCCTGGCCCCCGGGGGGGCTGAAGAACGCGGGGAACGGACAGGTACTGGATGAGGCCCTGAGAGCCGCGGCCGCTCAGCCCCCGATGCTCCCGCGCATCCCGCCCCAGCGAACAACCTGAGAGCCTACGCACACCTGTCACCACGCACGCACGCGGGCACTTGGCCCTCGCAGCTCGTGGGGCCCGGGACAGTGACCCCAGGTCTCCAGGTCTGGATTCACGAGGCTGCCCCACCCCAGGCTCTGAGTGCGCCATGGAGGAGGGCGCCGGGGCCTGTGGGAGGGAGTGTCAGGGCGGGGTTCGCGTGCATTTGCTGCGGCAGAACGTTCTGGAGATGGGGCGACGCCCCGCAAGAGTTTAGTTGTACAAAAGGCAAACGCACGAGTGGACTGAAAACCCCCGGGAACACGCGTTTGTTGGAGGATCCCGCTCTAACTCTGGGCTGCGGGGACGTGAGACCAGCGGCTACCCACCCACCAGGCCGTCACAGGTCGTGGCTTCGTCTTTCTACTTGTCTCCACGTCCCGAGGCTTCTGTGAGCCTGGGCGCTCTGCTCGCAGGCCGACTCCCACGGGCCACTGGCACGGCCGCAGGGGGCCAGCGGGAAGGGAGGAAGGGGAGTGGCTGTCGCCCTGGCCGGGTCTTGTCTCACGTCCTGGGTACGGCTCTGGGGGCTGCCGTGGGCCAGGAAGCTCACTGCCGTGTCTGGGCCAACGGCGTCTCTGCAGCAGCCTGGCTCCCTGGGGAAGGTCGGGCCGAGCACCCAGGCCACGCTTGGGGCTCCTTCGTGGCCGCTGAGAGCCCGCGGCTTCCCAGGCTGCTGCCACCGCATCAGGGATGGTCACTGGGAGGCACAGGCTTGGGGTGTCGCTCCCCACGACCCCCTGCTCCCCACTGTGCTGCCCCACCCCCAGTGACCTCCTCCCGGGGCCTGTCCCCACGGGGGTGGGGGCTCTAAGGCACATGAGGGGCTCTGGGCTCGGGGTCCAGCAATGGGATAAAGTCTATGGCCTTGCTGGGTGTGCGAGAGCCTGGGTCCTCCGGCGTGGGCCTCCCTCTGCGTGCTCTCCCCCCATTCGGCTTATGCCCCAGCACATATGCCTGCGTGCGTGTGCGTGTGTGTGTGTACGCTCACGTGCATTAAGTGGGGGAGGGGCAGAGGCAGGAGGCTGAGAGAGAGAGAGAGAGAGAGAGAGAGAGACAGAGAAGCTTAAGCAGGCCCCACGCCCAGTGTGGAGCCTGACACAGGCCTGAGATCATGACCAGAGCCGAAATCAAGCCGGACACCTAATCCACGGAGCCACTCGGGCGCCCCAATGTTTGCTTTCTGTGTCCATGTCCCTGGTGGCCTGCTGGGGGTGGGGGCTGCCCGTCCGGTACTGGCCACAGGGCACAGGGTGGGGGGGTTCGCCAGATGAAGGCAAAGGGGAGGAGCAGACTCGCCCAGGTGTGCAGGGCGGCGGAAGTAAGAGAAGCGCTTCCATTGGGCCCGTGCCTCCAGACACAGAAATGCCCGTCTGAGGGCTCCTGGCCCGGAGGCCAGGCTTGGCCCCCGCTCTGTGTGCCCGGCAGCGTGGGCACCGAGTTCATGCGCTCCAGGTGTGAAGTCCGCTCCGTGGCCGCTGTCGCACGGGGCCTCCGGACCTCAGTGCTCCTTCTCCCGGGCCTCGGGCTTCTGGGAGCCTGGCTGCCCCCGCCCCGGTCTCGCCGGCCGGGATGCGGTGGGGGCGGTGGGCGTGACCTGGGGTGACGCTGAGGGCCCTGGCTCTCCCCGGGGACACTCTCCCAGGGCCGGGCTGGCCTTTCTCACCGAGTGCCAGCTGCACACAAAGGCGCAGTGGGCCGGAGGCTGCCGGGTCGTGGCCGGGGCCGGGGGCAGTCAGGGAAGAATGCGGGAAGCACAACTGCTTCCCAAGCCCTGGCCGCGGGCGCCGCCCGGACACGGCCATCAAAGGCCGGCAA